TAACAGAAAGGAGTTAAATCTTAAAATCCTAGTTTAACCCCGTCCCATATAATTGTTCCTGTACCAATCCAGGAACGTCGCCCGTTGCAAATCCCATTTTTTTTTTTTTTTTTGCATTTAGGAAATTTGATATTTATAGGCAGACCGTATGATAACTTTCAAAATATTTTTGTTTTTGTTTTGATGTTTGGTTGCTGTCTATACCCCATACCTCCCTTTATTCCTATTTATGGTAATTTTTACAACCAATCAATGGCCTTGATTAAATAAATAGAATAGTATCTCAGAAACAGAAATGGCAGCAATGGCAACCCTTATGATTTTATGTCGTCATCTAAATTATGAAATTTATCATTGCAAATCGAAAAATTATATTCCATAATTGATTCTTACACTTATGTCCACTAGCATGTATACATGCATAATAATTGCATTTGGGTAGGTTCTAGAGAACTGAATGAAAGATATCTACATAAAGTAACCTGTTTAGTAAACCATATTACCTTAAACATGTAGCTGTTTACGGATGATGAAACATTACACCAAGTAGTTGATTTTTTATACTTCCATGCTACATATAATTTGATTTATAATTTATATTGTTCATTTACAATTGTATTGCCCATTGGTTAGATTAAATATCCATATTCACATGCATAGCTACATTTGACTCTTTTGCAATAAAAAATAAATATGAAAATTTTGATTTTTGGCTAACAAAGGTCAAAGGCCAAATTTTAATGAACACATATCAGGGTTGCCTATGATGTTAAGTTTTTGCCTCTACTTGCAACCACCATTCTTCATAAGCTTGAAAATTGAAACATGCTAAAAATAGAGTTACCTTCGCTACAATTATCTGTAATATTCACAATAAGTCAGTAAAATTCTGTAAATCTGTTAAATGTTGTTCACAAAATACAACGATTCGTGTGTCAATTTGTGTCGATCCTTTACAACGACGTTAAAGACGTTGCCAGCGGTGTTACTGTGACGTTCTTTATATTATTTCATGCCTACTTCCGGAAAGTAAAAACACAATTGCGCAACGCAACATATACATTAAATGACATGCAGACAACATTCCAAATAAAGCACTGAAAGTTCATTATTTGAATTAAAATCAACATAACTTAAAATCGCTGTTCCTGTTGTAAGGTAGTCGAGTTTCTGCTGTCCAGTATTTCTATAAAGCCATCTAGAAATATAAATCGCGGACAGCCAGAAACAAACAAAATACAAACGTACGCACTGATCTGTAACAAGACAATAAGCCTTCAGTTTTATTTTTAGACGCGGTGTGACTATGACCGGAAATCCATGATTGTTACCCTATATATTAATAATAAATGGCCATAAATGCCGTATGATTTTTATAAAAATGATGCTCCAGTTATATGTTTTATATTAAGAAATGAAGAGGAAAATGCATGTTTATTTCATGGTTGTTAATTGGTTATGTGCAATTCTGTCCTGGTTTTTTTTACCGACTATTTTAATTTCTTTAAGTTAAAATTCGGAATTAAAACAAAACCAAAAATACAGTATACTTATATTACCATGACTGTTTCAAATTCTAAATCATACACTATCCTTATTTTACTACTAGTGGGTCGGTACCGCTGGTGATGAACGTTCAGTTTGTGTCGGTACCATCTTCACAACAGCAACTAGTTCGGTACTGGCAACAAGTTAACTGTAAATTTGATGTTTGTAGATAAAGAAATTTAACTAAGGTTCTCAGGCAAAGTTGACGGACATTAGAAGTTCAATTTAGGTCATAGATTTTATGTCCTCGTTCAATAAAGTATTTTTTCTAGAAACACGTGTGGTGTGTACAGATTGATTGATTGACTGTTGGTTGCTTAACGTCCAGTGGCAAATATTTCATGCATGTTCATAACGAGAACAAATTAACAATAAATACGATACTAGTAGGTAGGTCCTGTAAAAGATGCCTTCCGGGATGAAGGTCGGGAAAATTTGGACTGCCACGGGAAAATGAGGGTATATTTGATAGAGACAGAAATTTATCCTTCCAACAGGCCACCTACGGGCCCCTCAAAGAGCTGTTCCAGGGGTTTTTAACGTGCAAAGAGCGTGACACTCTCTTTACACGAGGGATCGCATTTAACGTCCTCATTCTGACCGGACGTGGCTGCGTATGTGTACATCCCGCACAGCCAAACGGACGCCCCACTTTGGCGAGGGTTTTACTGCCGGTCGGAGGAAGGCCAATGGTGACAATATTTCTATTCCCCGGTCACCCTTTGTGGGAAGGGGGGGTAAAGGGGTTGAGCTTTTGCCAACATTGGCGTCCGTCGTTTGTCTGTTAACTTTTACAAAGATCTTTCCTCTGAAACTACAAGGCCAAATTAAACCAAACTTTGCCACAATCATTATTGAGGCATCTAGTTTTAAATTGTGTCCGATCATCCCGCCTGACAACCAAAATAGCTGACATGGCTAGAAATAGAACATAGGGGGAAAATGTTAAATATTATTTTTATATACATAACTTGAGTACATTCATGGCTCTATAATATGTCGATACCTGTATATCGGCATTGTACAAGGTCATGTTTTTCTCTGATTGTTAATGACATCTTTACACTAAATCCATTGGATGTTGGATGTGTACTGATTGATATATTAGTCTTAGATGCATGATTTTTTTTATTAATTGTTATTGGCTTTGAACTACCTGTCAGTAACTGCGAATACTCTCAGATCTGTACTTAGTGTCTTTTGTTGTAGGGGTGTATAAGTACACTGCCACATCCATTCTGTGTTTTTGTTAGATGTATGTCTGATTTGTATCTCTCTGATGAGTTAAGCCCTTTTCAACTGATTTTATAGTTTGTTCTTATGTTGTACTGTTTCACCAATGTCCCAGGTTAGGGGAGGGTTGGCGCCTTCAAACTATAATATATTGTATGAAAAGAACAAAGCAATCAAAGAAACATATTTTTCTCTGCCTTAAAAAAGGATAGTTTAATTACTTTTGATTTTTTTTTATTATGATAACAAAGAACTACTAGTATATACTACGAAAAGCTGTGAACCATTATTATTATTTTTCCTATTAGGAATACGTGGAAAAAAAATACATTGTCGGCCTTAAAATTCCCGCTCACGCAGAGTTTTATTTTATCTAAGTAAATGTTCTGCTTTCCTAGAAATAATAAACTGCGACCATAACCATGCAGAGTTTCAACACAAGGTCGAAGAATTTTTTTTTATCTAACCAAAAATCGGCAGGAGGAATACTATAAATAAAAAATCTGTGGCGGGCCGCAGATTTTCAACACAAGGCCAAAGATTATTATTTTGAAGAAAGCGAATATTTCTATTAAACAATTTGCGGGAGCGGCAATTCTCATGTCAACAATTATTTTTTGGCCATGTATTTCTCATGGGAAAAATAATGATAATCGAGGTTTCACTGCGGATTTCTATAATATTAGAATTGTTACCTGGGTGGTGAGCAAAACGGTGTATATCATTAGAAGCTTAGACTTTTGATCATTTTCAAGGATAATGTGAAAATAAAGATTTAATAATGCAGTAAAACAGATATCATACCGATTTCCATGTGCACGATACATGTTTACTGAAGAACCTGTACGGTGACCTATAGTTGCTTATTTCTATGTCGTTTGGTGTCTTGAGGAAATTTGTTTCATTGGCAATCATACCACATCTTCTAATTCTTATCTTCATGTGGTTCGCTCTAGACTAAAGATCACTAACAGTTTGGAAAACCAAACTATATCTTTGAACTTTTGAGAGCATAAAAATCAAAAGGACATAAGCAGAAAACGCAAAATCGTTCAAATTGCTTAAATCTAAGCCATTTGAACTCTGATGGATAGTTGTCTAATTGTCAACCATACCACATCTTCTAATTTCATAATTATACGGTTACTATTTAATCACTGCATCTGGTATTTTTTGTGTTTGTAATAAACATCAATTTGCTAATTTAATTATAGTGCTGTAGTTTGAGGCAATACAAAAATGTTTCAAATATGTTTTTTTTTCTATGTCTGTATCCTTGTAGATTATTTGGGCACAAGGGGGTTTCTTCCTGTATTTTTCATGACGTGGCTGTAAAATATCTGCTATAAAGTACAGCAACCATTATTGATCATTATTAGAGCGTAGGACGGTATGATTTCATAATAGCATGGTAAGTACATTGAACTTGCTTTCAGTAATTGCGAGCTTCCTAAACTGGAACAAAATGTTAATTGGCTCGGATACCAAGTTCCTGTCCAACATTTATGGCACCCATCCAGCTACTAATAGTGAAGTGACAAATTAAGAAATAGCCGCTTAGTTTCGATATAAATGGACTGCAGGCTGGAAATAATAATTTTGCAAAGTAAATAGCTTCGTATTCATTTTTTTTTTTGCCCGGTCGTAGAATTTTCCCAAAGTGCAATTCCTGGAAATATGTTAAAAAGTGACAACTCAAAGATTCTACACCGTATTTTTGAGTCTACGACCAGATAATCAAAGTACTGAAGTACTGAACATCGGATGACCACAAGTTCTTGAGGATGGTCAAAAGCACTTGTCTCAGAAATAAAACAACTATCTCTTTACCTAAAACTGAGGTTAATGTACAGAGATATATTTTTTTCTGAGACAAGTTCGTGCGTGGATGATGAATAAATGACAGGAAATTCAACTTCACCGTAATAACTATTATATTGTAGTGATACAAATCAGTATACACTGAGTTGTTGTTTATATTATATTAAAATAAAAGTTATATATATATATGATTTGAGTCCATTTGTATATCATTCGTTTTTCGTTCATGATCAAACCACCTCCTCCTCAAATGTAACCAACTCGGAGGGGAGTTAATAAGGTTAAGATACGATACAGTTAAATAATAAAAAAAAAGGTCCTCTACAATTTCAAAGTACATCTACTTTGTTTGGTTTGTCATTATAATTTATTATTCTATAAAAACCAAAAAGATATAATATAATAAAATAATAATTTTATAAGAAAATATAATACATAATTTAAACGACCATAAAATAAATAAGTATTCTATATTTCTTCTCCTATTTTTGGTTTCCTGAAACATATCAACAGCGAACTGATGAAATGTCGGAAGGTTGATTTCTTCGCCTTTTTCAGTCCATCTGAAAAAAAACACAATGCACTATAAAAACTGTTTAGGCCAAAACAACTGTATTACGTGAAATTCATATTCACGCTGTCTGGTGTAGACACAGGTGTTTTCATACTTATTTTACGAAAGATTAAGTTATTCCATTTTCATTTTAGGAATAAGTTTCTATTCACTTAAATTTTACAATGGACCCTTGTAATTAGTGCACAAGAGGAATGTTGTTATGTAGGGGAGGGTTGAGCATTCACGTATATGTTTAACACCGCTTTGTGTCTATCACAAACCATGAGCCTATGATCCAGTGGTTGTCGTTTGTTGCTGTCTACTTTAATTGTTTTTCGTTTTACTTCATGTTGTAGTGTAAATCAGGCCGTCAGTTTTCTCCTTCAATTTATCTCACATTTTGTCATCCCGGGGCCTTTTATAGATTTCTTTGAGTATGGGATTTTGCTCAATGTTGAAGGTCAAACGGTGACCTGTAATTGTTCACAAAATTATACTTTGATCTTAAATATATAGTTGTCTCATTGTTAATTATACCATATCTCCTTATTTTCACATAAAACAATGAACAGGCGTATATATATATAAATCATTTCACTTATATTATTGACATTTGTTTATACTTTTGTTATACCTGTTGTTTGTTTCTTTTTAGATTGGTTGTCCTCCATCTGCCTTCTTTTTTTAGCATCTTTAAATAAGTTGTTTGTTCCTGTTCCCTTCTTCTTTTCCTCCTTTTCCATAATTTTTATCTCGTTTTTGTCGGGGATATCCAGTTCAATGTCTTTCTGTCGGAAATATATAACTCGCATTTATAATAAGAAAATTTCAGGTGACCGATGGATGTAATCTAGCCTACTTTTTATGCATTTTATCATATATGTCATATATTAATTTTATTTTTCAAAATACATTTTGTATTGAATGTCCACCTGTTAAATTTAAATTCGTATATAGATATATATGTATCTATTATACAACTATAAACATTATATTCATTTATCATGTGTTTTATCTAAAATGATAGCCATAGTCTTAGTTGTTTCTTGGGGGGAGAAGGCTAGACGTTTGAATTTCACACTGTATGAAAAATAACCAGAGATTACTATCAAGTGTTTATCGGTGGTTGCTGCCTGCTATAATTGTAGTATAAAACAGCCGTCGGTTTTCTCTTTTAAGTTGTTTCCCATTTGGCCATGCCGGCCCTTTTTTTTTAAACTTTTAGCTTACTATACGATTTAGGATTCTTTTCATAGTTGAAGACCGTACAGTGACCTGTATTTGTTTACATCCTCGTTCTTTTTTCTCTGGTAGATAGTTTTATCTCCTTATTTTTATTATGAAGGTATGAGTTTATGTATTTTCCGATTCTTCCGCAGTGTATATGTCTTTAGTGAAAACGTTACCTTAAAAGATATGTCTATCCATGTAGGATCTTCCTTTTGGTGGATGTGAATTAGAGAGGAAGGCCCTGCAAACAATTAACGTTGTTAATGTTATTTTTCAAATTGCACCATAAAATTTAAGAAAAATAAACTAGAGGCTCTAGGGAATCTGTATCGCTCACCTTTCAAAACTGTAGCCCTCGATAACAAAAGTAAAATTACGATACAAAATCAATTCGATGCGCCGTAAGCGGATTTAAAAAAAAAATATTTTGTCAAAATGAAATATTGGACGTCAGATATTATCAAAAGTTCAATAGCCATGAACCCAAATATCACCACAAAGGCCGCCAAAACAAGGTAAGGAAATCACGACCGTAGAAAAATAGATTTTCCGCCTTTTTTTATGGTATCAGACAAAAGTTTTTCTAGTTTGAAATTCAATGTCATTTTGCTGTAAAGTTTATTGGACAGATCTATTTGTAGTAATATCAGTCGCCTTAAACGGTAAGTAGGACATTTTGGAAGACCATGAAGTTAGGACGGGAATTGCCAGGAGGTTTACGGAGAGGAGATCTTAAAACATATTTCTTAATAATAATCTAATTGACCAAAATGAGCAAAAATCAACACAAGAGAAGTTTTACAATACAACTGTCCATTTCAACTTGACTGTTCCTGTTCAAATATCTGTTTATTTTGATTATTTTAAAGAATTTTACCGAGGTTAAGCAACTGCCATTCATGAAGTCGGTTTGGTTGTCAATAATCAGTCTTTTTGAAATAGTGTGACGCCAGTTTTATCAATCAAACAAACGGGACTTTTTTTACCCAACCATACTTGTTTCTTGATACACCATCAAACAATAACTTGAAATATTGGTATACAAGTGCTCGTATTCAGGTCTACTGTAAAACTTACGTGTGGTGAAAATGTATCGGATTACCGATGTTTCGTCAGCTTTTACTTCAGGTAAATATATAACAGTTTCACTTGCGTTCCAAGGACTGTCGCTAGACTCTATGGGAACTGAAAATTCGACAATTATATACATGAATAAAAAGGCCATATTAATATTGATCTTCTAAAACTTAACTATAAATGGAAATAAATTTATTAAAGAATATTGATATTATTGATATTGTGCTTTGAAAATGAAATCATTAAGTGACCTTATATCATTGTCGAGAATTTTGATGCCTGGATTATATAGTGCAATGTGTGACTTAATGTGATCCTATCAGATTTGCTCTTTTCTGTTGGATTAATGTAACAGAATAATAATTGTTTCACCTGGAATGAATAAAAGTAAGTTTGACTTGCAAAACATATCGCGTAATTTTCATGGGGTCAGATGATGGTGCTATTCAAAACTTACCAACAGTTTTCTGTGAAAAGTCCTGTTTCGTAGTTGCTATCTCAGCATTTTGATTCTGTTCGTCACTTTTGTCATCTGTCTTTACTTCATCTTAAATATATGCAGAATACTTGAAAAGAAATTAATATTTATTTGCACATTTTTTTTTGTCTCACGCACAGGAAAAATATGCAGAACTATGAGTGCCTTGTTTTTAAAATATTAACGTTTACAAAGCTAATTGAAATGGGTTTGCTAAATAAAAAAAAATAATTGCCAAGACAAAACATAAAGATAACAGATGCATTAACCAAGAACTTCGTGACATTAAGCAGATGTTTTGGTTTTGATCAATGTTCCTGATCAATGTGTTCATTTCAACTGAATTTTCGTGTTTCTTTGTCTAGAGATCTCTTTTTTTTCAGTGTAATGCATTTCCTTACTCACTTTCATCCATATTATAGTAATTATTTCAACAAACCTATATCTTCACATATGAAGCCTTCTTCCTCTGTATACTTGTATTCTCCTCGCATCTGTTCAATTTGTGTCCAGAATTCAAACTCGGCATTTGTCTGTGCCTCTTTTTTAAATTCAGTAAATAACTTCCTTGTTGAAGATTCTGTAAGAAGACGGACAGGAACAATGCATATCATCCATTACTCAAACACGACAAAATGATAATTATTGCATTTTGATACATCTGTATTCAACAAATAAAAAATCATATTTGATTTTTCGACAGTGTCTAAATTTTTATCAATTAAGGTGAAAATTCAATGCAATTTCCTGCATTAACAGTATAGAAGTATACATAAAAAAAGCTTTAAACAATAAAGATATTCAAAAACAAACAGAAGAAGTCACAAGTACATTGTTAAATATATGTATTCAAGATACACAATTTCTGTTTATGAAAATTGCACATATTTGCATACAGCTACACAAGCCACACAAAATTCAGGATAGTTTGACTGCATGTTCTGTTCCCAAAATTGCCAAAAATGTCAAACAAGTCAAACATTGGAAATTCTTTCTCAATGCTCTTTCTGTAATTGGAGGTTACACCGAATGTGTGTGTCTCACCTGGTCAATTCTAAGTATTCAAAATTACAAACCTAATCTCCTATACAAATCTTCGTATTTTTGCGAGTAATATTCTTCTTGGATTTTTTCAGCCTTTGCCCAAAATTCTCTTTCATCTTTTGTAATAGACTCCTTTTTAAGCTGAGCAATGAGCTTTTTCTTCTCTGATTCTAAGACCTCGTGGAGAAAGTTACTCATCTAAAAAGACGAGGAAAAATAGACGAAGATTCTTCTAAAAAATTAATCATGGCCTTGCTTTTATGTCTTACGATTTATTATTAAAATCTGTCATTGTTTTAGATGATGTTTAAGATGATTACAATCTCCATGGACAGTTCCATGGGATACAAAACCATCTGTAATTAGAATTAACAATAATCCCTGTCTGTGTAATGACAATGGAAGGATTATGATAGCCACGTGTGTGTAAATGTAAACACACACAGTTATGTATCTCGTCGTCTTATGCTGGTAGTTTTTTTTTATATCGTACTATATATATACAATAGCATTGTTTTAGTACGTACCCATAATGCAAACTATCCGACCAGATTGTGTGTTTTTTTTTTCTTTTCTTTTATTACGATTTTAAATCCCTCTGAAGACTGTCTAAAGAAGAAGATGCGGTTAAAATTGGCTGAAATTTGAAGTTTCCTTTCAATGAATTTAACAAGGGTTTTGGTTGGAACCTCTTTTCCCTATAGTGCTGCTATGAACTTTTTACAAAGTATTCTATATGATGTTAATGTGGTATTTTTCTACAGAATGACATTTGTATATTTTAGAATTTGCATTTCAGATATAGTAAACTTTTGTAACAAAAACCCATGATGAAAAGGATATATGAAATTAAGTAACTGCTGAACAATAATTTATATCCCTTATTAGTAACTTTTAAATATTCATATGTCAAAAACCTCAGGACAGTGCAAAATTCAAGTTTTGCATTTGATAACACCCAGAAAAAAAAAGAGATGTTATAAAGTGCATTACTCGTACTAATATGTACATGTATACTTTTTTTGTATACCATTTGCTATAAAACTGATAGAAATTAAAGCGGTTAGATCCCAAAAACCTAGTTTAACCCCGTATCATATCTTTGCGCCTGTCCCAATCCAGGATATCGCCAGTTGCATGCATGCAGATCTCATTGTTTTACTTTTGTAGATCTTTTTTTTGGCATTAAGGAAATTTGGGATTTATAGGTAGACCGTATGTTGACCTTCAAAATTTTTATTTTATAATTGATGCTTACACTTATGTCCACTAGCAAGTATCCATGCATAATAATGCATTTTTCTAGGATAGAGAAAACTGAATGAAAGATATTTTCATAAAGGAACCTCATAGTAAACCATATTACTTTAAACATGTAAAGGTCACGGACGGTGAAGAGTTCAGTTGTGGGCAAGCTTTATTTTGCAAAACATTACATCAAGTAGTTGATATTTTATACTTCTATGCTACATGTAACATATTTTAATAATTTTTACAGTTTATCTACAATTTTATTGACCAGAGATGTCTGTTTAAATATTTATATTCACATATCTCCATTTGAGTCTTTCGCAATAAATATAAATATGAATATAGATTTTGATATTTTAGCTAACGCATGTCAGGGTTGCTTATGATGTTAAGTTTTTGCCTCTCCTTGCACCATACTTCATAAGCTTGACAATACCTGCTTAAAATAGAGTTTAGTTTAGTTCAGTTACCTACCTTCATTACAATTATCTGTAATATTCAGTCAAAATCTGTAAGTCTGTTAAATATTGATTACAATATACAACGATCCGTGTGTCAATTTGTGTCGATCCTTTACAATGACGTTAAAGACGTTGCCAGCGGTGTTACTGTGACGTTCTTTGGATTATTCTATGCGTACTTCCGGAAAGTGAAAACAAAATTGCACAACGCAACATATGAAAAAAATGACAGACAGC